TTGGGCCCCCCTTGGGCCCCCCTTGGGCCCCCCTTGGGCCCCCCTTGCCCCCTTGGCCATGGCCTCCCGCGGCAGGAGCAGGGCTGGAGCTGGGGCAGGTCGGGCTGGGGCAGCGCTGGGCTCTTGGCCGCTCCCGCCCGCACTCGGCCCCCGCCGCAGCCGCCACGGCCGGGACAGCGCGGGGGGGCCCGGCCTGGGCGCCCCCCCCTCCCCCCTGCCCAAATTGCCGTCCCGGGGGGCGCTGGGGGCGAGGGGGGGGCGCCGGTGGGCTCGAGGTGGGGAGCGCTGGGCGCTGCGGCTCTGCCCGCACACGGAGGAGTTGCCCCCGCAGCCGGGGGGGCTCCCGGCACCCCCAGTGCCCAGAAAGGGCTCCCCAGATTTGGGGTTTGGGGGCTCTGCGAGGGGTCTGAGCGGGCTGGGGGGTCCTTGTGGGTCTGTGGGGCGGTGTCGGGGGGTCCCGGCCCCTTTTGTGGAGCGCTGGGTGCCGTGTTGGGGTGCAGGTGCCCCCCCAGAGCCCCCCCAGAACGGGGTGACACAGGAGGGGGTGACACGGGGATTGAAATTCCCGATCCATCCTGAGGCCGGTTCTGCCCCCCACCCAACCACGGCTCCCCCGATGGGGTCTCCACAAGCCCCCTCCCCCTGCCCTGAGTATCTGGGACTGGGGAGAACTGGGAAGCTTTACTGGGAACACTGGGAGCAGGCGGCTGGTGTCAGAATAAAAGCAGGGCCAAGGGGGACACACGACCCCCCAAAATCAGGGCAGAGTTTGGGGGGTCCCGGCTGGGCCCGAGGCCACGGGGAGGGGCTGTGGCCGCCGGCGGCTCAGGAGCTCTGTGGGGAGAGAAAAGGGGGTGAGAGCGGGGTGGGGGGACAGGGGGGACACCGGGATACACCGAGACCTGGACTGGACCCAGCGGGACCAGAACTGGGGCAACAGGGACCATACTGGGAGCAACTGGGAGCACGTTGGGGGCAACAGGGATGTACTGGGCATGGCTGGGAATGAGTGGAACCATAGGAAGGGTGAATGGGAATAACTGGAACCACGCTGGGGAGAACTGGGATCATCCTGGGAGCAGCTGGGCCCCTGCTGGGGTCATACTGGGATCAGACTGGGATCTTACAGGGAGCAACTGGGTCAATCCTAGGGGCAACTTGCAGCAACTGGGATCACAGTGGGAGAGCTTGGCCCATGCTGGAAGCAACTGGGCCCACAGTGAGGGTGACTGAGGTTATACTGGGAGTGACTGGGAGCACTCTGAGGGCAGTTGGGACCATGTTGGCACAACTGGGATATACTGGGAGCCAGTGAGATCACACTGGAGGTGACTGGGATCATACTGGGAGCATACTGGTAGCATACTGGAAGTGACTGGGAGCATGCTGAGGTCAACAGAGATCATACTGGGAGTGACTGGAACCATAGTAGAGGTGAATGGGAGCAACTGGAACCACACTGGGGGCAACTGGGATCATACTGGGAGTGACTGCAATACTACTGGCAGTATGGGAGAGGCACTGCAACCATACTGGGGATGACTGGGATCAAACTGGATTCATACTGGAAGTGTCTGCAAGTTCCTGGGATCATACTGGGAGTGACTAGACTCCTAGTCGGATCATACTGGGAGCAACTGGGACCATGCAGGGGCAAATGGCATCGTCCAGGCAGTGACTGAAAGTGCCTGAGGCCATACTGGACTCAGACTGGGAGTCCCTGAGAGGGAAAGGAACCATCCTGGGGGGACTGGGAGCAACTGGGACCACCTTGGGGGCAACTGGGATCCTATTGGGAGTGACTGGGAGTGACTGAGATCACTGTGGGAGTGACCAGGACCATACTGGAACCATCCTGGGAGTGACTGTAAGTGACCGGGATCAACTGGAAACAACTGGAACTATTCAGGGGGGAACTGGGAGCCAGTGGGGCCATTGTGGAAGCAAGTGGGAGTAACTGGGAGTGCCAGGGTGCATGCTGGAGGCAACTGACATAGACTGGGAGTGACTGGGAGTGACTGGGATCGTCCTGATGGGAACTGGAAGCATCCTGGGGCAAGTGGAAGTAACTGGGTATGACTACGAGCATGCTGAGGGCAACTGGGATATACTGGGAGTGTCTGCAACCATACTGGTGGGTACTGGGATCACACTG